GGTAGTAGCATCCCGAGTTTCCTTTGGGAGATGTAATCACATCTTTGATAGAAAGGGATTGCTATGTGTTATTCCAAATGACTGTGAGTACTCCGATACCCCGATGGTTAATTTTACTCATAGGAGCAGAGTGAAGGATGTACCTGAGATGTAACTGAAAAGGTGCTGGGCTAAGAGTCAGAAGCCTAGCTCTGCCACGGATTAATGGAGCTTTTAGAATATTGTCCTTAGACCCCTGATTCAGAAGGCGGAGTTAGTCACATTAGTCAGATGGGAGTACAACCGCCACTGGTTTGTAGACCCCACCTGCGTAGTTCATATTCTAGGACTCATCTTTACTGACAACTGCACCCCTTGGGTAACTCAATTTCCACACACCACTGTCTGCCCACCCCCTCCTGTTTTTTCCGCTTACCCTCTCTAGTACATCAGCAATCCATCTAAAACCCATCGAGTTTACCATCTTTCTGGGTTCTTACTTCCACGGTCATCATTAAACTAATTCCTTGCCTACGTCTTGGCTCTCTTGCTCCTCTCCTGCTTTCTATCATATTTGCCCAGCAAATGCCCAAACCTGGTTAAATCCCTCTTTCCATCTTCCCCTCACCTGCACTTGGAGGGACTGGAAAAGGGGAAGCCTGACATCCTAATAGACCATGCCCATCCGTCTCAAGCAGGCCTGATGCCAACTGGCACGCCCATTATTCAGCCAGGCCCACTCTCTCTCCCGTACTCTGGGGTAGTGAATTCACACTTCTTTTCTCCTCCAGCCTCAGTGACCCCCTGCTCTTCTCTCTCAGCTGAGGACACGGCTTCTTATTTCTCTGGAAAAATGGAAGCCATCAGGGAAAATGTCCTAAGGCCCCCATCACAGACCTAGGAAGGTCTAGGCCACCTTACTCCTGTGACTCCAGGGACTCTGCTCCTGTCCAAGGCCAGCCCTTCCACACACTTGATTCCTCAAGGATTTCACATTTGTCTTGTTCTATCTCTCATCTTTCTGCATCATCAATTTTCTGTCTCTCCTGGCCTATTCTGACCAGCACACACACATGGCCTAACAGCTCCCAGCCTTAAAAAACAATCCTCCCATGATCCCAAAACCCTCTCCAGTGTTGGCCCCATTTCTCTGCTCCTTTTGTAGCCAAATTCCTTGGAGGAGTAGGTTCCACTTCCTCTGCTCCCACACTCATGTCTGACTCCAGTCGAGTGTTTGCCCCAACACACTCTCTTGTTTCTTGAAACGGCTCTTGTCAAGGTCATCAGTGACCTCTACTTTGCGAGTTTCAAAGGTCAATTCTCATTCCATATCTTCATTGACCTACTTGCAACGTTTGACTAACCAAGCTAGCTAAGCCCTTGCCCTTGAAACACTTTCTTCTTGGGCCAGGATGCCTCTGTCATGTGTTTGCCTCTTACCACGCAGGCCTCTCAGTCTCCTTTCCTGCTCTTCCTCCCCACCCTAGCCTCTACTCCTGGCACATTCCAGTCCTCTTCTCTTTCTACACTACTCCTTGAGGGTCTTACCCAGACGCATGGCTTTGAGAACCATCCACATTTTGCTGGTTCCCCGGTGCATATTTCTAGTCCTCACCTCCTGCTGTGTCCAGGCTACTTTTGCCCCTGCCTACCTAGTATTCTACTTGGATGTCTCACGGGTGCCCAGCGCATCCAAAGCTGAGCTCCTGTTTTCCCTTCCAAACCTCCCCTCCTAGCCTCTTCCCACTTCACTAAATAACAGCTCCAGTTGCTCAGGCCAAAACTTGGGAGTTAATCTTGATTCCTTTCTTTTCTCAAAGCTCCCATCCAATCAGCAAAATATATCCAAGAGTCTGAGCACTTCTTCCCACCTCTGCCTGACTTCTCTGACGCCACATGTACTCTCCCCTAGATGGTGACCACAGCCTCCTAAGGGGCCTCCTGCTTCCACCCTGCCTCCTCTAGTCAGTTCATCACACAGAAGGCAGGAATCCCTTTAAAATGCAAAGATCAGTCCTCTGCTCAAAGCACCAATGTTTGATGAGGCCCCACAGGCATGGTCTCTGACACTTTTCAGTGAGTCTCCTTTTTTTTTTTTGAGTTGGAGTCTCACTCTGTCACCCAGACTGGAGTGCAGTGGC